TTCAGGTGACCAGGCCGGGGCTGGGCTGGGACATGCTGGCCGCAGTGCCGGTGCAGCTCCCAACCCCTGGCACAGGTAGCCCAGATGTGGTTTTGTAGCCGCATCTCCGGTTAGCCCTCTTGTGAGGCCCTGAGTACTGCTCGCTGCCTCTGCTCTCTGCTGGCGTGGCCTTGTGACACAGGTGACCACACGTCCACCCTCCCCAGCATGACTGTGTGACACAGGTGACCTCACACCTGCCCTCCCTGGCATGGCCGTGTGACACAGGTGACCTCACACCTCTCCCTGGCATGGCCGTGGGACACAGGGGACCTCACACCTGCCCTCCCCGGCATGACTGTGTGACACAGGGGACCTCACACCTCTCCCCGGCATGACCGTGTGACACAGGTGACCTCACACCTCTCCCCGGCATGGCCGTGTGACACAGGTGACCACAACCCCACACCCCTCCCCGGCATGGCCGTGTGACACAGGTGACCTCACACCTCTCCCCGGCATGGCCGTGTGACACAGGTGACCTCATGCCTGCCTTCCCCGGTGTGGCCGGGTGACACAGGTGACCTCACACCTCTCCCCCGTGTGGCCGTGTGACACAGGTGACCTCACACAGGCTGCTTCAGCCCTCTTACCTGAAGGGGTGGAATCCAAAGACCTGGAGTGGACCCGCCTGGCCTCTATGTAAGGAAGCACTCGGGCCAGCTGGGGTGATATGGTTCAGGCGGCTGGAACCTGCATGGCCCCCTGGGCTCTGAGTTCTGGACCTCGCAGTGGGCACGTGTGCATACGTGCTCAGAATCCCAAGGGGAGGTGGAGGAGAGTGGGTTGCCATCTCCCTGGGGGCTGACTTCTCACTTTCTATCTCGGTCTCTCCTAGGGTAACAAGGATACTCTCTGGCAAATTTTTAAAAATAATTTTATTTATCATTATCATCATTTTAAATTTGCTACAGGGGATATACACTCACCAGCCAGAGGCAGAGAGAGAGAAAGCAAGATAGCATGCTGCCTGGTCCGGGACTTGAACCGCAGTGAGCCATGTGGGAGTCCAGTACCTCAACCACTATGCCACCTGTGGGCACAGCCATTTAAAAAGAATGTTCTAACATGGTCAGAAAAAGGACCAGCACTTGGCATAATGGTCACGTTTCTGGACTCCCATGTAATAGAACGTGTTCGAGTCCCAGACCCAGTGGCTTAAAACTCACTCCAAGGGCATGTGTGTGTGTGCCCAAGATCCAAAGCGGAGAATGGAGAAGGGATTGTGGTGTGGCCATCACCCCCGAGGGGTAATTTCTCGCTCTGTGTCTCTGGTGAGTGCATGTGCCCTATAACAAAAACCTCCCTTAGAAATAAAAGAAAGTGCGCTGTTTGCATCTGTTGGCATCAGCACCACTGGTTGTGCCTGGGAGCTGCCAACTCTGCACCTGGAGCATTTGGGAGGGCTGGCTCTGCACCTGGAGCACCTGCACCTGGAGCACCTGGGGAGAACTGACTCTGCACCTGGGGAGAACCGACTCTGCACCTGGGGGGGGGGCTGGCTCTGCACCTGGAGCACCTGCACCTGGAGCACCTGGGGAGAACCTACTCTGCACCTAGAGCATCTGAGGGGAACCAACTCTGCACCTGGGGGGGCTGGCTCTGCACCTGGAACATTTGAGAGAAACTGACTGCACCTGGGGAGGACTGGCTCTGCACCTGGAGCACCTGCACCTGGAGCACCTGGGGGGAACTGGTTCCACACCTGGAGCATTTGAGAGAAACTGACTCTGCACCTGGGGGGAACTAGCTCTGCACCTGGAGCATTTGAGAGCAACTGACTCTGCACCTTGGGGGAACTGGCTCTGCACCTGGAGCACCTACACCTGGAGCACCTGCACCTGGAGCACCTTGGGGGAACCAACTCTGCACCTGGAGCACCTGAGGGGAACTGACTCCGCACCTGGAGCACCTGTGGGGGGAGCCTGGCTCTGCACCTGGGGGGAACCGACTCTGCACCTGGAGAATCTGCACCTGGAGCACCTGAGGGGAACTGACTCCGCACCTGGAGCACCTGTGGGGGGAGCCTGGCTCTGCACCTGGGGGGAACCGACTCTGCACCTGGAGAATCTGCACCTGGAGCACCTGAGGGGAACTGACTCCGCACCTGGAGCACCTGTGGGGGGAGCCTGGCTCTGCACCTGGGGGGAACCGACTCTGAACCTGGAGAATCTGCACCTGGAGAATCCGCACCTGGAGCACCTGAGGGGAACTGACTCTGCACCTGGAGCACCTGGGAGGGCTGGCTCTGCACCCGAGGCACCTAGGAGCAGCTGAGGGGAACCGACTCCACACCTGGAGCACCTGGGGGGCCTGGCTCTGCACCTGGGGGGAACCGACTCTGCACCTGGAGCACCTGGTGGGGGGAACCGACTCTGCACCTGGTAGGGCTGGCTCTGCACACAGAGCATGTAAGAGCAGCCACCTCTGCACCTGCAGCACCTGGGCCCCTGCCCTGCTGAGACCCTGGCCTGGGCCTGGCTTGGTGTCCTTGTATTTCACTGAGAGGAGGTGGCAGCTGTGTGGGATTAGTTCCTGTCAGATGACTTGGGCCGTGATGTCGTGGGCTGGCCTTCTGCAGCATGTAGCATAGAGGACAGGTGGTGTCACGGTGCAGGCCTGCAGGGAAGGCCCTGGTGGACAGGACAGGTGAGCGAGAGACTGTGGAAGAGGGGTGGGTGGCCACTGGGGTCCAGAGAGTCCAAGGGTGTGGGCTCCAGACAGGACAGAGAACCGCGGATGATCCTGTGAGGGCTCCAGGGACACTGGCCGGTAACTAGGGACCACTGTGGCTGTCATGATGGGTGAGATGTCCCCGGCATGGAGCCAGAGGGGCAGGATGCCCCCAGGGATTGATCTGGCCTGTATCCTCTGCTGGGGACAATGGCCCCCAGATCTGGTCCAGGGAGCTCTGTCTCCCATGCACACCTGGGGCATGTGGTGGAAGGCCCTGGTGGGTGAGCCAGGGGTGGAGGTCTCCCCTCCTGTCCGCTGTTGCGGCCTGGTCCCTGTGGAGCGGCACGGCCCAGCGGGAGGTCCTGCAGGGCAGTGCAGTTCCCTGGCCCTCTGAGCAGGACTCAGCACATAGTGGGACTGGCTCTCTGGATCCAGGTGCCTCTGGGGCCTTGCTGCTGCTTGGTGGTGCTGGACACACCCGCTGGACTAGTGGTGGCAGGGCTGGAGTACAGGCTGGTGTCTGTGACAGGCCACGTCGGGACCACGACCAGCCGCGCACCGCGGGCCCTGGCCTGGCCCGGCCCTCGGTCCTCCTGGGACAGCTGCCCTGGCGGCTGTGGCGTGGAGGCGAGTACTGTGGCGGGGCGCTACTGCCCTGGCTCCAGGTGAGCTGGCTCAGCTGCATGGGGACCCTGGCCGGCCCTGCAGTCTCTGCCAGCCCCAGCCTGGGCCTCTGCCCTGAGGTGTCCCAGGCAGTGCGCAGTAGGTTGGAGGGAGCTGGTTCCACCTCCGCCCAGAGCCGGGAGTCTCGCCTGCCATCTGGCTCTCACCCGGAGGTGCTGCCCAGTGCCACTCAGCCATCCAGACCTCGGCCAGAGGGACTAGGTGTTGTCTGGTGGGGAGGCCCGGCAGGGGCTTTGGGTGGCCTTGAGAGGAGGGTGTGCATCATCCCAGTGCATGGGGCAGGTCTCCCGCCTGGAGGCAGGCTCTGTGGAAGGGACCCTGGGTGACATCTGGGGTTCTGTGGCAGGCAGGACTTGGGGGGCTCCTGTCCTGGAGCTGGTCCAGAGGTGGGCCTGCTTCCATTACCTGTGCAGAGACCATGTCCTGGAGGGCACTGAGCTCTGCCCCCACAGCCGTGGGCACCAACGCTGTCCTCTGCAGTGGGGCCGTACTGTGGCATCGGTGACTCACTGTGCCCCCTGCAAGGCTGTGTGTCCTGCATGTCTGTGGCCTCACACGCTGGCCTGAGCTCTGGGGCTCTGTGGTCCCACTCCCTGGCTGGACGCAGTACCTTGTCACAAGCCCCAGGGTAAGTTGGGCCCTTCTCTCCAGATGTTTGGAGACCGCCCGTGGGCCACGTCCCTGGTGGGCCAGGCCCCTCGTGCTGTGGTCCTGAGAGTCCACCCTGCCCTCACCGAGGAGGTGGGCACTGGGCTGGGTTCCCGCTGAGCAGGGAGCTCCTGCCCCAGGAGGTAGCCCTGCCGTCATAGTGGCCGGCTGGGGCGTCTTGAGGGGCGGGGCAGGGGCGCCGACCGCCTGGGGGGTGACTCATGTCTGTCCCCCACTGCTGACGTCTCCTGAGATGGCCCCCGTCCTGGGCATGGGCCCCATGTGGGGCTGAGCCCCTCGCCAGCGGGGAGGCCAGGGCCGTGCAGCACCGGGCAGCAGTGGTCGTCGTGCCCAGCTTGGCCCTCGGCCTCCCTCGCTGCCTTGGGTGTCCGCCAGACTCTATAAATAGCCACACGAGGTCCTGCCGGGAATTGGCGCCACCAGCGTCCGCAGAGCCCAGCTGGCAGAAGGGAGCCGGCAGGCAGGCCCTTCAGAGCAACTGGCCTCAGGGCACACATGGGGCTTACACCGTATCCCTGAGAGCCGGCTGCCCATCCCCCAGCTCCTGCCGCCTCAGCTGTCTGAGGTCGCACCAAGAGGGGAGAAGTCAGGGAAGGCCTCCTGGAGGAGGCAGGGTGGTGCTGGGGCGCACTGAGCGACGGGCATCTCCACACCCAGCTTCTGTCTCTCGCTGGGCTCTCTGGGCACTCCAGGACCGTGACCCCTGGGTTTCCCGCAGGCTGTCCTGGCGGACACTGGGGCTCCTCCAGTGTGGGCAGGGCGGGGCCAGCGTAGCAAGCCTGTCTCCGGAGCTCTGGTCCTCTGCCTGTGCCGCCCACTGGCCCAGGACCGCGGGCGAGGGTGGCTGTCCTGCAGAGGCGGGACCTCCTGGCGCTGTGCAGCAGGGCGGGCGTACGCCGTGGGGGGCCGTGTGCTGATGCCTGCGCCCACAGGGAGATCCAGCTGCTGAGGAGGCTGCGGCACCGGAACGTCATCCAGCTGGTGGACGTGCTGTACAACGAGGAGAAACAGAAGATATATCCACCCTGCCCGCCCGCCCGCCTC